TAATACGTTTGGTATTTTGTTCATGAGTTTCCAGAGCAAAAATTACCAACTTATCTTAATCTTTCAAACAAGATAAAAAAAGAAAAAACAAGATAAAATCTCAAAAGAACATTTGTGCCTTGCAATTTTTCCTTAGATTTCCCCAGAACTTGTTCAAAGTCTGGAATTTTGAAGTTGGTTATATTGTGTAGCATGTAGATCTTTTCCATGGATCTCGTCTTCATGACAAGAAAATAAATGAAATGCAGACAAAGAATAATCGTTGTAGCCAAATTTGATGGTTGAATAAGCATGTATATTGGTCCAGATACTTAATCCAGCCCAAAATGAAGAACAAGACAAATACATCAAAATTTTCTTTTGTTTTCCTGACCCGTAGAAGTCTTTTCCTCTGCCTTTTAGTGACGGTGGAATGTATTTTGCGAATAATGCTTCGATCATCTAGCCAAAAAAATGCGCATGGATAATTTGTAAACAGCATAGTCTGACACATTATTTGCAGATACAAAAGCAATTTAACATACCGAGCCCTTGAGTTTATGAAACAAACATATCAAGAAGTAACTCTCAAGAATACCATGTTGAGGTACAGTAGCCAAGCTAAAAGCAGGGGAGTTCTGGTATGCTGGTGACAAGGAGAAGCAAAACTTCGACAGAATCATAGCAAGAATCACCTTAAGCTCTGTCATAGCTAAGTGTTGTCCAACACAGATTATGAGGGGCATATAAGCCTGTGGGGACCGGCAAGCCTTTTCCGTTGACAAATCTATCCGGCTTAAACTTATGCAGATCAGGGTTTCTGGGGTAAATAGGGGATTGGTATTTGAAGGATCACACCCTTTGGAAGCACAATGTTTTTTTATGTGATGGTCTCGAAGGCCTCTCTTGCTACAAAGAATGCTGGCGGATAAAGACATAATAATACGTCCTGAATCACCATTTTTAAGTGCAGACACAGATGCAATGCAAGGTGGTAATCCAACTTCTATTGCGCGCGTCTTTGGATGAAATTCTCATATTATTGAGCCAGATCTGGACACCAAATTTCTCTCCACTCTCTTTGCCTGTTTGCATTTTGCACTTGGTTAACGCATATTTTATAAGTGTGTAAGTGTGCCGGAATAAATCTCATATAGGAATACTGGTACAAAGATTCCTAATACTTCATCTGAGATTTGAAATCTCATATTCTATAATTTGAACTTATAGAATATGAATTAACAAAATAAAAAATGCAAACATCAAAGAAACAATAAGCAAGCTAACATATTATTCATATAAAAGTTGTGACAACACGTGACCTAAAAGTTGCAAAGATTATGGGAGCCACCGAAGTTCATAACTTGGAGTATATGTCAGATGATAATTGTTTGGAAATATTTAAGCAGCATGCATTTGTGAACATTAACAAAGATAGACCACCAAATTTTGAGTTGCTTCAGAAAAAAATATCAAAGAAACAATAAGCAAGCTAACATATTATTCTGGGATGGAGACCAGAATTTGTTGGTTGGTGCAGTTTGGTAAAATGCATGGTTATGTGTATGGTTGAGTAATCAGTTTTTATTCCAGCACAGAATGAAAAAGGCAATATATACAATGGTGAACTACGAGATATCCACCCTATGGAGGCATTTGCCCCATTGTGGGTCAAGGACTTCTTCCGCTTCTAGAACTAGAACAACAGCAGCAAGCCAAACTCCAAGTCTTATCCTGTGACAGAGAAGGGAACGATGATCAATGACTGAGTGTGTTATTTTTGCTTGTCTTTTATGATCAACTTTTGGCATATAATAGGTACCAAGTATATTATCCCAAATCACAAAGAAGCGTTGAGAGAAGTTATACTTGGTTACATGAAGCTAATGGTGAATAGCTTGGTAAGCACTATTATTTTTGAAACATGCATGTTCTTACCATGCTATTCACCATCAGCTTCAAGAAACCAAGTATAACTTCTCTCAGCCCTTCTTTGTGATTTGGAATAAAATACTTGGCACCTATTATGTCCCAATCTTCCTATTATTGGATTTACTAGGCACACTTCAACTTATAGAATATGGAGTTAACAAAATACAAAATGCAAACATCGAAGAAACAATAAGCAAGCTAACATATTATTCATATAAAAATAAAATAATTCCATTTACAATAGGTGTTGCTTTTTTCGTTTACACTACCTACTTTTATAGATCTTTGTGAAGACTTGTAACAATTTGTGAGTGTATAAGGGTCTTCTCTGCTTGTACCATGAGAAAAAATTAAATTAAGGCGTGCGCTATGTGCAGGAAAGTGTTATTTATATTCTCCATTTATATGCTAAGTGCGCAGGGAAGTGCATATCATTTGTGTGATGAAATATATTAGGGAAAGCACAAATAGCACTACTTGGTTTCACCAAGCTATTCGCTCTGTCCATAATATATTTCGTCATACGAATAGTATGCACCACACTTAGCACACTAATGGAGAGTGCAAATAGCACCTCCTTGCACATAGCAATACGAATAGTATGCAGAGACTTTAATCTCTCTCTCTTGGTACAAAGAGAACCTTATAAAAGTAGGTTGTGTATAGAAGAAAAAAGCAACACCTACATGATATGTGATGTGCCTATTTTGTATTTGGTATTGTTCTATTTTGTTTATTTATAGAAATGTACCTACATTTACTTATATGATATGTGATGTGCAATTCCCAGCAACGGTAGGCAGTTCAAATTCCCACCAATGTCACATGATATGTGTGTGTGTGTGTGTTTTTTATTATTATCAAGATACCGGAATGATTGCCGGAGGATTTCGTAGATAATAAAAGGAGGGAGGAACGAGAACTTGTTGGTTGGTGCAGTTCGGAAAAATGCATGGTTATGTATGGTTGACGTTTCAACTAGTACCTAATTAAACTAAAATGTTGGCATTCATCTGTAATAGTGTTTAAAGCTTCTATATTATAATTCGTAGATTTCTGTTTTTTTAATAATGCAATGAAAGGAACATAGGAGTTTGCTCGCGTATAGTAATTAGTTTTTATTCCAGCACAGAATGAAAAAGGCAATATATATCCACCCTATATGGATGCATTTGCCCCATTGTGGGTCAAGGACTTCTTCCGCTTCTAGAACTAGAACAACAGCAGCAAGCCAAACTCCAAGTCTTATCCCGTGACAGAGAAGGGAACGATGATCAATGACCGAGTTCGTTATTTTTGCTTGTCTTTTATGATCAACTTTTGGCATATAATAGGTACCAAGTATATCATCGCAAATCACAAAGAAGCACTGAGACAAGTTATACTTGGTTACATGCATATGAAGCTAATTAATGGTGAATAGCTTGGTAAGCACTATTATTTTTGAAACATGCATGTTCTTACCATGCTATTCACCATCAGCTTCAAGAAACCAAGTATAACTTCTCTCAGCCCTTCTTTGTGATTTGGGATAAAATACTTGGTACCGATTATGTGCCAAAAGTTAATCATAAAAGCGAGGACAATCAAAAATAATACGCTCAGTCATTGATCATCGTCCCACCCCCCGCTCATCCATTGCTTTGATAGTTGCAAATGAGAAGAAGAAGATGGACGTTTGTGGAGACATTATAGAGACGAGAAAACTTATGCCCCCGCCCCTGCTCATTTTATCAACCATAAGTCCCAAGAAAGGGTATTGTACAGAGCTCCAAATGCATAAGGAGCCACTAGCCTGTGAAGATGTGACCAGATATGCCTGTACAAAAATTTGTTGTGATGCATGTATCTATGCATGAAGTATTGCCACGTGTCCGTTACAACATGTCAATGGCAAACTTAATAATAAGTATCTTGAAATAGTTATAGACAAAATTCATCAATTTTGTCTATAATTATTTCAAGATACCCAATATTAAATTGCCACTACAATGTTGGTAACGGACACGTGGCAATATTTCATGCACAGATACATGTATCAGAACAAATTTCTGTACAGACATATCTACTCACATCTTCACAGGCTAGTGGCTCCTTATGCATTTGGAGATTTGTACAATCACCCTTTCTTGGGACTTATGGTTGATACAATGAGCGGGGGCGGGGCCATAAGTTTTATCGTCTCTAGAAATGTCTTTTGGAGACGAAATATGAAGGATGAAAAAAAAGGTTAAATGTGAAAGGAAGTCTATGCTTTCCAAAGGGCTAAGATGGAGTTAAAAGCAAAAGAAGAAAAAATGAAAGGGTTGTGAGGAGCATACATTTTGGAGACGCAGTATAACATTGAGATATCAGAGATTCTAGCAGCGCTTAAATACAGGGGTGTTGACGCTTTGCCATTGCTTCTCCTACTCTCTCTCTCTCTCACGCTCTTTCTCTCCCTTCGGAATAAAGATTGTGAACCTTTTCTCTCTCCCTTTGGAATAAAGACTGTGAACCTTTTTAATTCACCAATATAAGTCTCCTACAATTTGAAAGCTTGTGGTAATTTAGTCTGACACCTTGATTTTATCAAAGAATATTGAAGAGAAGTTTGTTTTATCAAAATAAATTGAGACCCTCTACTGTTTGGAATTGAAAAAAAAAAAACTAATAAAGTATGACCACCATCCTCTTTTCCCATTTTGAAATATGGAATTGGAATCTGAAATTCTATATTGTATAAATATGGAATCCGAGAGTATAAATATTAATTTGTTAGGTGGATCAAATTGACATATGATTTTGATTTTTTGAAGTAGCAAGATGCTCTGGTTGACTTTTGTTCATGTGTCTACCAAAACCATCTCCACTAGGATATATTTATCCATCTTCTTAGTGAATAGTTGATCCATTGGTAGATGGCTCTGTAAATCATTTTTTTGCTTGATTGCTTTCTGCATTTTGTTTTTCAACAAACTTTACTTGAAAAAACACAAGAGACTTATTGGATAGAAATCGTAAAAGCTTAAGCTATTAGGTGGAGAGAAAAAATATATTCATAACCAAAATCGAACAACTATACTTCACCCGCAATGTTTCATCCCACATTGCATCTTACATCTAGCTTACAAGTAAGAAGAATGAAACAAAAAGACCTCTTCCTTCATATTTCTTTTCAATGTTCACAGTGAAACACAGGTTAAAAATTGCCAATATATATGCGCAATGATAAAGTCGGCCGTCCACAACATGCTATTACAGAACTAGTATCACACTCTCCTCACTTGGAGACTTACTCCATGTTCAGGTTCAATAACCATACTAGCAGTTGGGCAGTGTTGGTATGCAGGGGAGAGTGTGAAGCAAAACTTGGATAAAATAAGAGACAAAATCACCTTCAATTCTGTCATGGCTAAGTGTTGGCCAAGACAAATTCGAGCACCAACTCCAAATGGCATATAAGCCTGAGGAAACTTGCAAGCCCCAAGAATTCCATGCTCAAATCTTTTTGGATTGAAGTCAAGGGCATCAGGCCCCCAGATATCAGGCAGCCGGTGCAGTATTGGGATTGGAATCTTCATGTTTGTTCCTTTGGGAATTAGAATGCCGTTAAGCTCAATATCGTCCAAGGCTTCTCTTCCAACAAACATTGACGGCGCGTACAAGCGCAAGGCTTCTTGAATCACCATATTCAACTGCCAACATGTATATAATTAGTTTAGAATACAGTTCACATCATTATGACAGATTATGTATAGACTTTGTGTGTCTTCGATAGTGTTTCTGTTACTCGGTATTCCTTTGTTATTAGCACTTTTTGGAGTGTGAATAAAATCTCCCTTTTATGTATAATGTAAATAGTAAAGTAACATACTATTCTCATGCTTCGGAGCATATCAGCATCTGGAATGCGATCCATGCAAATTCCAAGTACCTCAGCACGGGCACGAGCTTGCCACTCTGGATATGCAGCTAGTAACATCAAGCTCCATGATGCTGTGATGGCAGTGGTTTCGTGGCCAGCAAAGTACATACTCTTACAATTATCCACTATGAAATTATCCTGGGAGATGCCTGAAAATAGGCTGTCAGTATCTCCATAATTTTTGGCTCCCTCGATAATCATTTGGAGAAGGTCCTTTTCATAAGTTGCCTCAGCACTGCGTTGCTTCGCTACCCTTAATATCATTGAGTGGATCTCTTTCTCTAATCTCCAAATCTCTCTGTTGTTTTTGGTTGCCAAGTATCTAAAATTTTTCGAGACATTTAGTTTACTGGACTGTTAGCATGAAACCAGTGAGGAATTTGCAGAAACAGGCATAAGCATTTATGAAGAAATACCATCCTGAGAATACTTTTTATGCATAAAGTATGATGACCATAAGCTTCCTTGTATTATATATATATAGTATATACCTTACACCTGGAACCCCAATGTGTCCCTGGTACATGATTTTCTGAAGAGTTCTGAGCTTTAAGAAAATTTCTTTGCCTTGTGAATAATTACTTCCAAAGGATGTTCTTGATATTATATCTGCTGAAAAGCTTCTCAAATCCTCATCAACTCCAAAGACTGCAATTCCTCCCTCGCCTTCGATTTTACTCTCCCAAGATCTTAACATGGTGGTTGTACAGTCCACCATCAACTCCACCATACCCTGTAATTTAAGCAGTGAATTTTCAACCCATTTGAGGACATGAAATGCATCACAAAAATTGCATTCAAATGGTATCTTACATTAGAAATTAAACCTTAGAACAGAAATAGAAAACTAACTTAATAATTCTTGTTGAGAATTCAGTGACTTACCTTAACCCTATCAAAGTAGAACTCAGGGGCAATAATCTTCCTTTGGTGGTACCAAATTGGGCCATTTGCAGCTATAATGCCTTGACCGAAAAGTGACTTGCGATCCTTAGATACATAGCCAGGCTTCCCTAGGTTCAAATCTATCACTGCTAATTGCTGTATGCTTCCACTTAAATAGGTGAAATTTGGCCCTGCCACACCAGTATATACAAATTAGGAACATATGAGTAACAACAGGAAGACGGCCAAAACAAAAATAAAATTTTGGTCACCTCCCCTATGTTATTTTCATTTCTTCTCTTCATCCAAAGAAGAAAAAGAAACATGTACAGTTTTCAATCTCCTGGCCCTTGGAAAAACTGTTTATATATTTGCTTCTACTTGTAGTTTTAAACCAACACTATTGCTGTTATATTATCTCCTTAGAAACTCCAATGGAAAATCAAGTTCAAAGAGAGATGACAGAATGTACCATATTCATTTCCCCACTGGAGCAGATAAGGGAACAGCTTTGAGGCCAATCATGAGCAATGGAAAGATGGCGGTCCTTTGATTTCATCACCTCGAGTTTGACCATCCTCTTCATTTCTGGGATATTTCCCAAGAGAATTGAGGAAGGAGAAGGCCCTCTGATCCCTTGCTTCTCGAGCTTTGATCTTAGCCTCTTTTGCTTTAAAACTAAAGACTCATAGAGGAAGTAGCAATAGCACAAGCCCTCCAAACAACACTGATACTCATGTCAGCTTGCTAGTGGGTTTTTATAAGCTGACGAAACTCATGTCAGCTTGCTAGTTATGTGTGCCATTTTTTGGTGACTGGCAGGAGCATAATACGTCATCTTGTAGATGATGAGAGAAGCTTCTAAGACAAACCCAAACCTTTTTCATTCCATTAGGCAAAATAACAAAAAGAAAAGAGAACCTTTTTATTATTTTCTCAGCTAAATTCACATATCGAACCCCTGTTTTGTTGGAAATCCCTCCTTGGTGAAGTCAAGATGTGCGGCTGTTATTTTTCCCTTTTTCAAAGCACATGAATGCATGTATGGGATATGCATGCACGAAAATTCTACGCCTTGGGGAAAAGGAAGAGAAAAATGGGGGAGCTGCGCATGCTTTCTGCGCCTTGGGTTCCCTCCTTATTGGAGGAATAGTTTTTTGTCTTGAATGATGATGTCTTTGGTGGGAGACAAGGTGCAAAGATGGGGGAGGTTTTTTTACCAGCATCATTGTGGCTTCCTTGGGCATGCGGCTGGTTTCTTTGGCAAGCACGTGGGATGGTTTTTTGGAGATAAAAAATCAGCCTTTCATTTGGTTATATAATGGGCATGCAAGGGTGAGTGGCGTGTGTGCATGTGAACCGCACCAAGAAAAGGCACCAGAGAGAGAGCACGGCAGAGAGGGAGAGTGGGTTGCTTGTGAGATGCAAGCAAGCAGTCCATAAACTGCTGGAGGATGTTTCAGCTGGAAGTTAGCTGCGTTCATCAAAGGTTCAAGGGAGGATATATCTCTTGGGGAGTGACAGTGAGTTTTGGGAAATACTGTGAGTGGGTGGGTGTACAAGGGACTCGGGTTTGGGTATAAAACTCTTGAGTGTTAAATTGGGTGATGTTGATTTAACTCAGTATGTATTTTGTACAGTTACTATTCTCATAGTGAAGAATTGACAATACTGTTCGTGGATGTAGACAGGATTATCTGTGTTCTCTCATGTATTTACTCTTTGTCATCTTGAGCTTGTAGGTTTGTTTATTCATTTCTTCCATCGGGTTATCCTGTGACGAGGGGGAAATCGGTGTTTTCCCAACATGTTTATCTATGCACCTCTTTGGAAGGGGAATTGATTGGTAACCCCACATTCACTCCTTGCTTACCCAAAATGTTTCTTTAGAAATAATTTTACACCCACCATATTTTCTCATTACTTATCGAATATTTCTCAAGTATTCGGTTTTGGTGCACTTAACGAATATTTCTCAAGCAGACGCACCCCCAAAATTTCAATATCAACAATAATAAAGGACTTTTATATGAGATTTGAATCAGTCCAACAATTATAGGCTGTCAAATGTTTGCACCTCTCAACAGAGAGAGAGAGAGAGAGAGAGAGAGAGAGAGAGAATGGAGCACAACATCTGGGTTGCGTTCCGCGGCGGTGCGTGGCTAGGGTGCTGAGCGGTGGGGGATGGGTCTGATGGGTGGGGTGGGATCTGGGATGCGGAGGGATGGCAACATGTGTTGGTGGAGATCGGATCGAGTAAGAGAGAGAGAGAGAGTTTTGTTTTTGTTTGAGTATTTTATATTGTTTATTAATTTATTTAATAATATTTTATTATTTACTTGGTGTTGGAAGGATAATGGGTAATTTAAGAATAATGATGAGTGAAAAGATAGGATTGTGTTTTTTCAAATTTACATAGTGGGTGGGGAAATAGAACATGGGTGGAAATAGTAACACTCTTGGCTAAAATAGCTCATGCGTCACAGCAAAGTAGTGAGTTGCACTTGTCATGCCGTTCTCTTTGAAATGATAGATCCTGAGCCCGATTATGAGCTCGAGGCCTATACTTGCATAGATTGGGCTTTGCTGCCGCGACGACATGCGCGTCTGTCCAACTGTTCCTCGATCAACTCGACCATGTGTTTTACATCAATTTTGATACAAAATAACCAAAATACCTCTACATTTGTAAATTACCAAAATCCCCTTGTATGAATGATAAAAAAAAAGGAATCTAAAATGTGGACAGCAGCAACCCACTCTCCCCCAATCTCTCCCCTTGCCTCAAGCTTTCAAATCCACAGTCATTTTGGAGATGAGTTGGTACCTTAATTTGGTGGTGAGTCATTAGCCTAAGATATGAGTTGTAAGGCTACAAGTTGGTTACCTTTTTCTTCTTTTAAATTTATTTCTTAGATCCTAAGAAAATCCAAGAGATAATAAAGAGAGATGAGAGAAAATGGGGTGATTTTGCCACTGCAGCATATAAGGGAACAGATTTGAAGGCCAATCATGAGCAATGGAAAGATGCTTTTGACACAGTTCTCTTTGTGTCTTTATTAGCTGTTGACTTCATCACCTTGAGGAAGGAGAAACCCCCCTGATGCCTTGCTTCTCAAGCTTTGATCTTACCCTCTAGGTCTTCTGACAAAAAAAAAACCTCTTGGGCTTTGATTAAAACCAAAGACTCATAGAGGTAAAATAGCATTAGCACAAACCCACCTAACAACACATTGATGCTAAAATCTTTGCTGCCATTTTTGGCTCTGCTTTCAGTTATTTGGCCCCTCTCCTATCTTTCTTTCTTCCCTTCTTTCCTTGTTTTAGCAATGGACCAATGGTAGTGTTAATTAATAATATTATCATTATTATCACATTTGATTACAATGGACCTATAGCATTGTCTCTTTTTGGCCTCTTCTGATTCTCCTTACACCTAACACCCCTTGTTTTGGTTAGTAGCTTTGGAAAGGACAAATAAAGTGTGATCATCAACTTCTTTTCACTAATTAATGGGTTATTCATTTAGATAGAAAAAATCATTATGTCAATGATCATTTCGTCTAATGTAGTTTAGTCTCCACTTCATCGTACGAGGTCCTGAGTTCAACTCTCCGTTGTTGAATTAAAGAAAAAATAATAATCTATTATCATTCAGTAAGCTTTAGTTTTTTTTTTAAAGGAGAGTAATTGAATATCAATCTTAAGAGCTTAAGCTATTATGTGGAGACTAATGAATATTATTGCCAGAACAGATATACACAATAAAACATAATTTTTCATACACCAAAAATGGTACAACAAATTAATAACTAAGTTCACCATCCCCCCATTGCATCTTACATTTAGATTACAAGTAAAACAAGAAAAAATAAAAAGTAAACCTCTTCCCTCTTTTTTAGTTCAATGTACATAGTGAAACACGTGTAAAAATTGCCAATGTTCATAGTCACTCTCCTCACATGGAGATTTAGTCCATGATCAGGTTCAATAACCAATCTGAATGCTGGGCAGTGTTGGTATGCAGGGGAGAGCGAGAAGCAAAACTTGGATAAAATAAGAGACAGAATCACCTTCATTTCTGTCATGGCTAAGTGCTGCCCAACACAAATCCGAGGACCAAATCCAAATGGTATATAAGCCTGAGGAAACTTGCAAGCACCAAGAACTCCATGCTCGAATCTTTTCGGATTGAATTCAAGGGCATCAGGGCCCCAGACATCTGGCAGTTGCTGCAACATTGGGACTGGAATCTGAATGTTCGTTCCTTTGGGAATCAGAATGTTGTTGAGCTCAATATCTTCAAAGGCTTGTCTTACAACAAACACTGCCGGTGGGTATAGGCGCAATGTCTCTTGAATCACCATATTCAACTGCCAACATATATATAATGAGAATGAAGTTCATATCAATTGGTATGGAGGAAATCAGTTCTTATTACAGATCTGTATATGTATAGTAGTAACATACTGTTTTCATTAGCAGAGTATGTAAAGAATTTGAACGTGTTTTGAAGTGCTTCTACATGAAGCACTTGTACTCAGTAACTGCTTTTGTTAGTAGAACTTTGTACATAAAAAAAATTTCACTCAAATACAAGGCACATTCACCTAAAAGCACATCGAGCACCTATTGTGTGCTTCAGTCAGGAAGCACTTGAAGAGATCGGCCATCCCAAGAAGCACTTTTATCTATATGAGCTCGTTTGAGAGTAATTCTTGGAGGTCCAGAATCACTTTTGGGGAGAAGCACCCCCCACGTGCTTCTCCATATAATCACTTGTGATTTTAAGCGATTCTCTATAGAAGTGATTATTGGTCTATCTAGAATCACTCCCAAACAAGGCCTATATCAAACGCTATGAAAAGCACTTTTGGCCGTATTGCCAAAAGCATTTCCAAACAGGCTCATTAGCAGAGCATCTTCAATAAGTAAAATAACGTGAGTGTAATGTGTATGGTAAAGGATTGTACTGTTTTCATGCTTCGAAGTGCATCAGCATCTGGAACGCCATCCCTGCAAATTTCAAGCACCTCAGCACGGGCTCGAGCTTGCCACTCTGGATTTGCAGCTAATAACATCAAGCTCCATGATGTTGTGACAGCAGAGGTTTCGTGGCCAGCAAAGTATATGTTCTTGCAATTATCCACTATGAAATTATCCTGGGAGATACCTGAAAATAGGCTATCAGCGTCACCATAATTTTTGGCTCCCTCAAGTATCATTTGCAGAAGGTCCTTCTCATGACTAGCCTCAGTACTGCGTTGCTTCGCAACCTTTAATATCATGGAGTGGATCTCTTTCTCTAATCTCCATGCCTCCCTGTTGTTTTTTGTTGGCAAGTATCTAGCATTTTCGAGACGTTTAGTTTAATGAACCATTAGTGTGACATTGATACCAATGAAGAATTTGGTAATGTGGTACATTAGAAAAACAAACCATCAGAATGCCTGTTATGAAGACTAAATTCATAAAGTATGATAAACATCAGCTTTTCTTGTAATATTATTTACATACCTTACACCAGGAACCCCAATGTTTCCCTGAGACATGATTCTCTGAAGAGTTCTGAGCTTTAAGAAAATTTCTTTCCCTTCTGAATAATTACTTCCAAAGCATGCTCTTGATATTATATCTGCTAACAAGCATCTCATATCGTCATCAACTCTAAGGACTGCAATTCCCCCCTCACTTTCGATTTTGCTCTCCCAAGATCTTAACAGTGTGGTTGTAGAGTCCACCATCAAATCCATCATACCCTTGAAATTAAACAGTGAATTTTGGACCCATTGGATTTTGATTGTAATTGAAATCCATGAAATGCATCATAAAAAGCAGCAATAGAAAATGAACATAAAAATTCTAGGATGAGATTTAGTCATTTACCTTAACCTTTTCAAAGTAGAACTCAGGAGCAATAATCTTCCTCTGGTGGGACCAAATTGGGCCATTGGAAGCTAGAATGCCTTTGCCAAACAGCGGCTTACGATCCTGAGATAATATGTAAGCAGGCCTCCCCAAGTGCAAAGATTTGCACAGGCTAACTTCCTTCACCGTTTCTACATCTGTAAGAGTTAATTGCTGTATCCTTCCACTTAAATAGGTGAAGTTTGGCCCTGCCACCAATATGTACTGGATAAGCATAACAAAAACAACAGGAAGAGCTCCAAAACAAAATGAAAAATGTGATCATCTTCCCTCTCTTATTTTTATTTAACTAAAATGAGTGCATTTAGGTATGGATTTTACATTTCTACAGGAGACGACATTATAAGCAAATTAATCTTCCAAAAGTCCAGCATAAGGTGACTAATCCTTGGCTAGCTCTCAATCTGACCTGACTAGACTAAAACTCAATTGGAGGAGCACAATTTTAAACAAAATCATCTGACAGTTAACTAACCGATAAAAGGAAAAAATACTTACATGCCCCGGTGCCACTATCCCTCTCTTCCTATCTCTCTCCCCATGTCACCTATCACATGAGGAGAGAGATAGGAAGAGAGGAGCAGGGTGGCAACCGAGCAGGGAAGTTTCTCTCCAGTAAAAAAGAGGAGGACAAGATGTTTTTAGCAGTACATGCATTTGTGTACAGTGTACCCTTTTGATCCAAAAGAACAAAAAATACAGCTGCACTTTTCCAATTCTAATTTTAGGCCAACACTGTTATTATCATATACTAAAGAAATTAGGCTGACTTAAATGGTGTACCGTAGTCATTTCGCCATTCCACCAGATGAGGGAAAAGGGTTGACGTCAAATCATGGACAATAGTAAGAGGGTGGTCCTTTGAGATAGTACCACTTCTTGTTTCTTTAGCTGCACGTAACTTCATCTCCTTGAGTTTGATTCTGTTCATGTCTGGGATATTGCCCAAGAGAATTGATGAAGGAGAAGGCCCTCTGATCCCTTGCTTCTCTAGCTTTGATCTTAACCTCTTTGACTTTAAAACCAAAGACTCATACAGGTATGCTAGCAATAACACAAACCCTCCAAACAACACTGATAGCATGATCTGTGCTGCCATTGTTGGCTCTGCTTTCAGTTCTTTGGCTCCTCTCCTTTCTTTCTTTCTTCCCTTCCTTCTTTGTTTTAGCAATTAATAAAACTGGACCTTCTCACTCTCCTTACAGGCTACCACACCTTCTGCAGTTTGGAAAGGGCAAATAAACTATATACTATAATTGCAAAGGACAAAAAATCTAATATACTATAATTGCCGTCTTTGCGCTAAGTATTGGTTCGTCCAATTAGATTAAAAAAATTGAAATAAGGAATTTGATCTGACTTTCTAATGTCTATTGTATAATTGGACTTAGAAATATTAATTCTTTTGGTGGAACAAATCTTAATTACTGACCCTTCAAAATTCATGGAACTTATGACCCTTGAAAATGCTTGCAAGCCACCTTTTCCCCCTGTCAATACAATTGTAAGAATATAACAATAGGTCTATCACCAACTGGTATTGGTGAAGTGGTATTATTCTTCCTAATGTTGCAAGATGTCCCAATTCAAATCCCCTCCCCATTGATAAAGAAAAATAACAAAAGAAGTCTAATCCTGCATTGGATAATTGGGTGTCCACTGGGTAAATTATTTTGCAAATTATTGTTTTCTTTTTTCGTTTTTTCTGGGCCTGATGGTTGCTTTAATAAAGTTTAGTTTCAAACAAGACAAGGAATGTACTGAATGTCCTAAAATAAGCTAGGTGGAGAACCCCCAGTTAGCATTTGCAGCCTTAATGAACTTTAAAAAAAAACTTGAACACAGAACAAAATAATGTAATAAGTTAAGAACTGTAATTCTCCCACAATGTATCCTCCTCACATTGCATCCTACATCTAGATTACAAGCAAGAAGAAAGAAAAAACCCTTAACCTTTCCTTTTTTCTTTCAATGTTCACAGTGAACCACCACAGGTGTAAAAGTTGCCAACTCTTTATTCCCTACCAAAAAAATCGACCATCTGCAACATTCTTTTACACCTTTTAAAAAAAAGGTCACACTCTCCTCACATGGAGATTTACTCCATTTTCAGGTTCAATAACCAACCTAAAAGCTGGGCAGTGTTGGTATGCAGGTGAGAGTGAGAAGGAAAACTTGGATAGAATAAGAGACAGAATCACCTTCAATTCTGTCATGGCTAAGTGTTGGCCAAGACAAACACGAGCACCAACTCCGAATGGCATATAAGCCTGAGGAAACTTGCAAGCCCCAAGAACTCCATTATCAAATCTTTTTGGATTGAAATCGAGGGCGTCAGGGCCCCATAGATCAGGCAGCCGCTGCAGTATTGGGATTGGAATCTGAATATTCATTCCTTTGGGAAGTAGAATATCTTTGAGCTTAATATCTTCCAAGGCTTGTCTTATGACAAACACTGCCGGTGGGTACAGACGCAATGTTTCTTGAATTACCATATTCAACTGCCAAAACAGTTATACAATGAGTTTAGAATGGAATTTCATATCATTTTGGAAGAAAGGAAAGAAATTCCTATTACAAATACATGTACAGTAACATACTTTCTGAATTAGCAGAGTAATTGTGTGTGTTTGAGAGTGCTTTTGTGTGAAGTGGTTCAGTTTTAGCACTATGTTGGAAGTCTACAAAAAGATTCACTAAAAATCAAAGTGCTTTTCTTGCAATCACTTCTTCAGAAGCACGCATGCACTTTTTGAGAAGCACTTATCATATTACTTATTCAGTAAGCACTTGGTCCTTATGTCATCCCAGAAATCATTTTTGTCAATTTATGTCAAACATTATTAAAAGCGATTTTGGCATGTATTGGCAAAAAGCAAAAAACTTTTCCAAAGAGGTTCGTTCACAGAGTATTTGTGCTAAAGTAACATACTGTTTTCATGCTTCGAAGCATATCAGCATCTGGAATTCCATCCCTGCAAATTCCAAGCACCTCATCACGAACACAAGCCTGCCACTCCGGATTTGCAGCTAATAACATCAAGCTCCAGGAGGCTGTGATGGCAGTGGTCTCATGGCCAGCAAAGTATATGTTTTTGCAATTATCCACTATGAAATCTTCCTGGGAGATACCAGCAGAAAATAGGCTATCTGCATCATCATACTTTTTCGCTCCCTCGAGTATCATTTGCAGAAGGTCCTTCTCATGAGTAGCCTCGGTACTGCGTTGGTTTGCAACCCTTAATATCATTGAGTGGATCTCTTTCTCTAATCTCCTCATCTCTCTGTTGGCTTTCGTTGGCAAGTATCTGTCGTGGGGAATTTGCAGATCTAGTGAGCATGTATATAATAAAACTATTGTACTATATTTACTAATGACATCTCAGACAGACTGCATAGGCCAGCGATAGGACTCACCTATGCAAATGGGTTACCTATGTAAGACACGTAATTGGCAACGTTATAATGTGTTATATGCAGCAAGAACTACTTAAACAAAAACCATCCCCAGAACCTATTATGGTGATTAAATGAATAAAGTATGATAATTTACCTTAAGCCAGGAATCCCAATGTTCCCCAGCTGGGACATGACTTTCTGAAGAGTTCTGAGCTTTAAGAAAATTTCTTTCCCTTGTGAATAATCACTTCCAAATGATGTTCTTGATATTATATCTGCGGACAAGCTTCTTAAATCCTCGTCAACTCTAAAGACTGCCATTCCTCCCTCACTTTCGATTTTACTCTCCCAAGATCTTAACATTGAGGTTGTAGAGTCCACCATCAAGGTCACCATACCCTTAAAACAGATTTGCATGAAGAAATGTTAGCTAGATCGAACGAAAAGCCTTTTTTTTTTCACTCAAGTTCTTTAGAAGGTAGACTATCAAGTTTATGCCTTCGCCTAATCAACACACTGAAGCAATTTTTTGATAACTAGAGTGGATATACTAATTTTAAACAGTGAATTCTGAACCCATTTGATTGTGGTTAAAAGGGATGAAATGCATCAGAAATAACAACAGAAAGAAAAATGGAAATTTAATGATTTACCTTAACCTTATCAGAGTAGAATTCAGGAGCCATAATCTTCCTTTGGTGAGACCAAGTTGGGCCATTTGAAGCTAGAATACCTTGGCCTAACAGTGGCTTGCGATCCTTAGACAGATAAGCAGGCTTCCCTAACTTCAAAGATGTGCACAGGCTAACTTCCTTCGCCATTTCTATATCTGTAACACTTACTAGCTGTATGCTTCCAGTTGAATACATGAAGATTGGCCCTGCCACCAACAAATACTAATCAGGAAGAACGCCAAAAAATAAAAATAAAAATCATCCCCCTCTGTTTTTTTTTTTCAATTAATTTATCTAAAATTAATGTGTCTGGTTATGCATGTATGATTCCAAGAGGAGAGAGACTGAAAGCAAATTAATCTTCCTCAGGCCCAAACTAGACTGGAAACTCTGCATGTTGTTTGTTTTTCAATTATTTTCACATTTCAGAACTCAAAATACAAAATAAATTATGAAATTAAGTTGACAAACAAAACTAGGTTTATTACCATATTCATTTGTCCACTGCACCAGATGAGGAAAGATGGTTGAAGGCCAATCATGAGCAATAGAAAGATGGTGGTCCTTCGACTTGATGCTACTCCTTGCTTCTTCAGACTTTTTCATCACCTTGAGTTTGATGCTCTTCATTTCTGGGATATTTCCCAAGAGAACTGATGAAGGAGAAGGCCCTCTGATCCCCTGCTTTTCAAGCTTTGATCTCAGCCTCTTTGGCTTTAAAACCAAAGACTCATAGAGGTATAAGAACAGTACCACAAACCCACCAAGCAACACTGATAATATCATCTTTGCTGCCATTGTTGCCTCTGCTTTCAGCTTTTCTCTCTCTTTTTCTTCCCTTCCTTCGTTTTAGCAATGAACTTATGGTCCTCTACTAATGGTGTAGACGTTTCCGATACTCTTTTTTTGGTTTTTTGTTTCAATCATTATTACACATTTAATGTTGACAGAACTGCAAATGTTTTTTTCTTTCTTGGGCAATTTATAAGAATAGGATTAAGACATGTTTGTGCAGACCTTCTGACCAAGAACCGTTCTCTATTTTTTTTGGTAAGTGGCACCCTCGGCCGTGCGGAAAAAGAAATAAGCTAATAAAGAAATTAGATAAAGTACTGGGCCGTCCATTTGGATAAAACAATTAAGCAACAATTAAATAAGGAATTGGATTTGAGTTTTCATGTTCATTGAATAATTGAACTCAAAGACAAGATAAGGATTTTGTTGTAAATGCATAGGTGAGAGTGTAGGGCGGTTCAATTACCGCAACTTTTCAATGAAATTGTGAACTGATTGACATATTGCGATATACTATAAAGATAAATTGTGAACTAACTAACAAATTGCAGTATACTGCATATCAATATATCACAATTGTGCCAATGGGTTCCCACCACAGTGGTGGTGGATTCCCCCTTCCCCCCATGGCACCCAGGATCGAACCCCAGTGGGGTTTCTTTCCTCCAATGTAACCAAAAAAAAAAATATATCACAATTGTCTGTATATTGCGGTGAATATTTCCACGACACATAACCTTCATTGTCTAATTAAGAAAAACTATACTTAAAAACCACGGTCATCATCGTTAATCTCCACTTTAAGGTAATGAAAAAATAATTAACAAAGGGAGCTGATTTCCCTACTCCCATTTTCTCCATTACACTCTCTTTTGTTTTTGGGTTAATTGGTGATTTGCCCCTGAATTTGTACCTAGCTTTCAATTAATCCCCTATCTTTTTTTTTAGAAAATTAAGGATGTGGACTTCTTTTTTTTTTTTCCAATTTCCCCCGCACCATCTAAATCCTCAACATTTCATCCAATTTTCAATTAAATCATTTTAAAAATTTATTTTTTTGGGAAAAAAATAAGAAGAAAAAGACAATTCCAACACATCAATAACGAACCTTAATGGCTTTTTTAGGTCCAATTCCATCAATTTTTGTTGAGGCAATTCTTACTTGTTCATCGGCAACTGATCTAGCTCCTGAACCACTTCTTAGACGAAGACCAAGAGGTTTCATCATGCAACATGATAGCGGTGGGCCCTGCTTTGGCAAAGAAAGAAGATGGAGAGAGAGAGAGAGAGAGAGATAGAGAGTTTTCAAGAAGAAGAATGGGTTTTCTAGGTGTTGAATCACCCTATGATATTGGGGGAGAGTATTTGGTTCCTTCACATTCTTCTTTGACATCAATGACCAGACACACCAGTAATTCTAGTTGTTGCTTCTTTTAACTCTCCACCCATTTCCTCCCATCCCCAGTCGAGACCCACCCCCAACCCCAGTTGAAACCCATCCCTAGCCCTAGCCGAAACCCATCCCCAGCCATTGCTCCCAAGACCCAGACCCATCCCATTCCCAAGCCTTGCCCCCCTAGCCAAGACCCATCCCCCAACCCCATCCCCACACGAGCCTGCAAAAATAGAGAGAGAGAGAATTTCAATTTTTTTTATTTTTATTTTTTTCAATTTTTATTTATTTTTAATGTACAAAATGACTATTTTGCCCTCATTTTTAACGGCAAATTGGATGAAATGTTTTGAATTTAGACGGAGGGGAGAAATTGGCCAAAAAAAAAGTTCATATCCTTAATTTTTTATAAAATTTAAAAAAAAAAGATAAGGGGTAAATTGAAAGTTAGGTACAAATTCAGGGGCATATCACCAATTAACCCTTTGTTTTTTAATACTTTGTAATCAATGTTGTTCTTTTCTGTTCTTTATCTTTCCTATATTTTACTCTTGGTGACGTGGCAAGTGAGATACCTATTTTGATGCAGATGTGTGAAAAAAATAATAAAGAATTCTTTAAAATAATATTTTAAAAGGTAAAACACAATTTTGGTCGCTGAATTTAGACCAAAAACACATTTTGTCACCGACGTTTTAATTTTACCAATTTGATCACAGTATTTCATTTCATTAGCAATTTAAGCTCAAATTTTAACTTCCGTAATCTAAAATTTAAAAATAGAAAATAAGATTAAAATACAAAAGAAACTTGGAAAAAATAGAAACAAATGATTATAGCAAGCAACTACCGGCCCTATTAGTCCAAGCCACCAAGCCACCACCTCTCTCTCTCCGATTGATTCCGAGGGGTGGCCGTGGTGGTACTGGATTTTTTTTGGGTCATAAACAAGATAATTTCATTAACCTCACCAAAATACAAGGGAGAAGCCTTTAAAAAACCGAAGACAAGAAAGATAAAATCCCCACAGCAATATCAATCGATAAACCAGGGAAGCACAACCGCAACCTAGAAATGACATCGCAAAGGGAAGCCATCCAATATTACCTCAGGGATTGGGGTGGGGTTTGGCTGCCCTTTATTTATTTATTTATTTTTTTGGATCTTATATATATATATAACAAAAGGCAAAGAATGGTAAAACATTCAAAATACTAAAAAATGTACTTGATTAATGCAAATATTAAGAATTGAAATTATTAATTAAATAAGAATAATATGGTAAATTTACACTTTTTCATATTAAATAAAATAAAATTAAAAGAAAAATCAGATAATGGATCCTATTTTTATGGAATACAACTACACCAAAGATAAGGATAAAATAGGTAAGAGTAAGAATAAAAAATAACAAAATTGATAAAAAAAAGTATTTAAAAAAACAAAAGAGAGTGTAAGTGGATAAAAGGAAAGTGAGAAAATCAGCTCCCTTAACAAATACACCAAAGATAATTACCAAACCCTTTACCAAAAAAAAGAAGATAATTACCAAACCCAGAAGACCCTTCAAAATCCATCATCACTTAGCAATATTCTATAGAAACTCCTACTGAAAGACAGTTTGGAAGAAACTTAAATATCAAGTGCCCCATTGAAACAGTCATACAGAGCTCATTTGTCAATGGCTAACATAGACAAGTACTACACTATATTGAATCAGCCCCTGCATTTTTCTTTTAATTTCTTTAAGTAAATATGTATCCTTAGCAAAAAGAAAATTTCAGCAAGTGTGCTGCTGAAAGACACTTTGCTTTGCAAACATAAGAGCAATATTTAATAGGGAGTTTCACTAAAACACCCAAAATGGGGGTTGAAATTATAAAAAAACCCAACACCCAAAACACTTTATAAACACACCCAAAACCCATCATTACACACACACAAGACCCATTTATAAACACACCCAAAAAATATACAATTGTTGATTTTGGGGTTGCTTTTGGGTGTGTTTCTATGTTTAAATAGTGCGTGGGTTTTTTTATAAATACATGTCTAGGATTGGGTTTATTTATAATAATCTATATTTAATATATCTTAATGTAAAATTGCAATTTCAATCTCATCTTAACGAGATAAATGAAGTCCAACGGCTATGATTGATAGAAGATAATAAATCATAGTCGTTAGATTCATCTAAAGGTTGTTAGTTAATATCAAATATTCATAAATATTTATTTTAATAATTAATTAAATTATATTGCGGTATACATCAATCTTTGGATTTGCGGAACTGCATTGCCAACTGTAAATTGCGGTCGGTCCAAAAAACTGTAACTTGTAGTCGATTTTCCAGACATATCGATATGCGGTCGGTTTAGTTTTTGCGGTTTCTGGATTGAAAATGTCAACCTTAGGTGAGTGGTAGGGCTCGCATTTAGTATGTTTTTTGGTTCTCTTAGAGCATCCGCAATGAGCTCCCTAAACCACCTCCTTAGACAAATTTTAAGAATGAATTGTAAAAATGCAACTTCAACCATGCTCCCTATCCACCTCCTAAAATAGGGAGTCATTTAGGAGCTCCTAAATCTGAGGAGAGAGAAAGTATTCCTAGTGGCTCCCTATAATTTAATGCTGCCTTATTTAATGAGTATTTCAAACCTTTATTTAATGCTAACTATTTTTATTTTTTTTTAATAGAGATGGACCAATCAAAAAAGAGTTATAGCATTTATGACTCTCCAAATTAGGGAGTATGGTTGGAGTTAAAATTTTTTAGAGAGCTCCTAAAATAGCTTTCTTATATTTTTAGCTAAATTTTAGCTAAGAAATAGAGAGCATCATTGCGGATGCTCTTACAAACTAACTCAGCTCAAACAAAAAATTAGGCTCGTTAGAAAAAATGAATCAAGCTTGATTGCTGGTATACATGACTCGTAAAACTCATGAGCAACTTCTGTCTTCTTATGAATTTCCTTCTTTAGTCAATTCTAGGAAGTCGCTCCTAAATTGCATCCTTTCCAAATTGGTAGGCGACTTGGGGGTTTGGACTTGAGTGTGGTAGAGTGCAATGGAGGAGGTTATGACTTCCTTTGATAAAGTTCTTCTAACTGAAGAAGAGACCGAGGATGTTAGAGCATTTCCAGCAATGCAGCCAAGGGGAGGGCTGGGGGGGTTTGGGCCAAAAAGCTGTTTCCAGTAACAAACTATTGCCCGAGCTGATGGTGGGACCCAGCAGACTGGGCTGGCCTGAGGGCAAGGCTAACCCTAGTGCTGGCCCGAGGGCAAAACATGACATCATCAGCTTCTTCCACGTGTCGCACTCTGGGCTCTCCGATCAGATTTGTTTCCTCCAATCCAATGGCAGCCAATTTGTGTGCAATAAAAAAAATGAAAAAAAACTAAAAAATTACTGAATTTTTTTTTATATAAATACCAACCAATACTCTTCACTTTTAACACCAAATTCTCATACATTTTATTCTTCTTTCTACTATTATTCAAGTTTTGAAATGTATCTTAAATTTGAAATTTGAAATTTATCTGAAATTTGATTTTTGAAATTTATCTTAAATTTGAAACCGAAAATCTTATCCGATATGAATAGTATTGACAGGTAGGAACCCAAAAATCTTACCCGAAAATATTATCCAAAATAATTGTTTAAGTAAAAAAAAGTTGCGAAAATAACAAAAAAATAAATAGTAGTTGCCATGGCAAAGGGCAACTGCTGGAAACACACATAGCTTAATATGGCAAGGGCAGCCACTATTTATGCGAATAGTAGCTGCCCTAGCCCCCCTTGCCATTGCAAGGGGCAAACTGCTGGAAGTGCTCTTAGTGAGAGGGTGTGAACAATTCTAGGGCCCCTCTTGGTTTGCGAAAAGAATTTGATGAGAAATCATTTTGTGTCCTTTTCCAAGAAAATGGGAAATGGAAGATTCATTTCCCAAGTAACCAAGAAATACTAATTTAGTTCCTTTCTCATGTTTGGGTTGTGTAGGAATGGAAAACAAACGTTAGGCCCCGTTTGGAATTTCTTTTTCACCAAAAATTTGCTTCACTGAAAAGTTAAGCAATTTAAAGTGTTTGGTAAAACAAAACATCCAAATTATTTTTAAAGCAATGGCTTCCTAACAGCAGCTTATAAAAGAAGCCTCTAGGATCCTTTTGAAAGCTACTTTCACAAGAAGTGGAGAAGAGCCTTTAATAAATTTTTTCAATTCCTGTAATACCATCATAATTTTTTTAAATGACATCGTCTACCTTTTCCATGTAGTCTATGAACAATATCTTCCACCACGTCCATCTCCACCACCACCACCACCACCACCACCACCACTACCAATTCCACCACCACTACCAATTCCACCTCCATCATCACCACCGCCAACACCACCACTGTCACAACCTCCACCTCCACGTCCACTTTTATCACCTTATTAGCACATACCATACCACTTTGAACACCATGTCCATTTGAGTCATTATCCACAACTACAATAGTGTTATATTAAAATTTACCGAATATATTTTTTTTGTTATCGAAAAATTTACCAAATATATTGACACTGCTTTTTATACTCACATCACTAAAAAATATTAT